AGATTCGAGAAGTTACAGGCCAAATTAGACAAAATGGTTTGGATATTATTGATCCTCGTCTCAAGACGAAGAGAATGACATTGGTCCCGCCGGAATCGGAAAAAGTTCATTTTCCGGCGACTTTGACCGGCGGGCGGCGGCGGGGCGTGGAAGAAAAGAAAAGAAGAAATGAGGTCAAATTGAAAATTTTAAAATATATAAAATTTGAATTTGTTCCTAATGACCGGAAGTTAACCTAGAAACGGGCTAATGGCTCATTAGTGAAAGGATTGTGTAAGTTCAGGAATTTTTGTGAAAGAATTTAAAGTTCAGGTACCACTTCGAAATTCCAGCTAAAGTTGAGTTACAATATCAAATTTACCCTACACTTTTGATACTCCTACCATTTTTCATAATTTACTGCGTATATACTAGCCGCACCATCTTCTTGGTCCCCTGCGCGACAAACCTGCTGCCGGAGAAGGAAGGCCAAGTCCGCGAAAGACTTCGCCGGAGTATTCGCCGGACCAATTTCCTTCGCCAATCAGTTGAGGTGAGTGGTGGTTTCTCCGGTTAAAATTAATTTGTAGATTAGTATTGGTTAATATGTTTTCAATCAATTGACTTTGGATTTGGGATTTCGATATGTTGAATTGAATTTATAAATTTGGAATCTGGGAATTTGGTTCTGCGATTACTCTGACCTGCGGCTTCCGCTCGGTCCTACTCTGCTTGTTGGTTTTCATTCATTCAAAATCTATTTAACAGTTCCAGTACACGTCTTATGGTGCTAGAATTCATGCTTCTCAGGCCTCATCTGTCTGAAAGGAATCATCAATATGCATTGGTGGTTCCGTCAGAAATTCGTGTCCCCTAAGTAGAAATTTGAGTAAAGAAGATAAGTTTATTATTGTTTAATACGTAGTATATGATGCTGTATTTTCTTCCTTTGTCAATGATCTCTTTTATAGCATAACATTATGTAGTCTTTGAAGGTGGCCGATCCGATGGCAGTCATGTTGATTAGCCGGATTTCCCACAGCTGCATCCAGCCTCTGGCTTCCGCTGCGATTATAAAATATATCACTTCAGCCACTATTTATACTGATGCTTCCAATCACGAAGATGATCCCTTTAAGAAACACCCGGGCTACCGCCACCTTTCCGCCATCAAATCCAAGGGAGAACTACTCCGATCTTTCTCTGTCACTCCACCAATCCTACCCTGGCCACGGAACCTCACCCATAAACGTCTCATTTCTCTTATATCTCAACAGCATGACCCGAACTTGGCACTCCATATCTTTCACCATGCAGGTAAATACCACCGCGGGTTTTCCCATAATTACGAAACCTACCACCAAATCATCCGCAAACTCTGTCGAGCCCATGCCTTCACTTCCATGGAGACCGTTTTGGCTGAATTACAGCAAAGTGAAATCAGTTGTCCTGAAGAATTGTTTGTCACCATCATTCGGAACTATGGCATTGCAAGCAAACCGAAACATGCCATTAAGGTTTTCTTGAAAATAAAAAAATTTGGAACCGAAAGGACAGTGAAGTCTCTTAATACATTGCTGAATGCTTTGGTTAACAACAAAGAGTATGATTTGGTCCACATCCTGTTTAAGAATTGTAGAAAGAAGTTGGACATTGTACCTAATTTAGTGACATGTAATATCTTGTTGAAGGCTTTGTGTAAGAAACGTGATATTGATGCTGCAATTTCAATTCTTGATGAAATGCCTGCAATGGGAATAGTTCCAAATGTTGTTAGCTACACGACCATTCTAGGTGGGTATGTGCTTAGAGGCGATATGGCGGGTGCAGAGAGAATGCTTAACGAGACCCTTTATAAAGGATTGTTCCCCGATGCAACTACATATACCATTTTGATGGATGGATTTGTTAAGAAAGGGCAGTTGATGAATGCCATCAAGGTGATGGATGAGATGGAGGGCAATGGTGTCAAACCAAATTATGTAACTTACGCAGTGATGATTGATGCATTGTGTGCAGGGAAGAAGCCAGGTGAAGCGGTCAGCTTGCTCAATGACATGCTCGAGAACAGGTATCTACCCAGCGAAACACTCTGTTGTCGTGTCATAGATGCTATGTGCGAAGCAGGGAAGATCCAAGAGGCGTGCAATCTCTGGAACAAGTTGCTGATAAAGAATTGCACCCGAGACGATGCAATATCAAGCACACTCATACACTATCTATGCAAGGACGGAAAACTTTGGGATGCTAAGAAATGGTTTGATCGGCTCAAGAGGTGCTCGACTCCCAGTGCCTTGATGTATAACACACTGATTGCCGGGATGTGCGAGAACGGAGAGATTTTTGAAGCCGGGAGGCTATGGGATGACATGGTGGACAAGGGATGCGCGCCGAATGCGTTTACATATGAGATGCTGATCAAGGGTTTTTGCAAAGTTGGTAATCCGAAAGAGGGAATCAGAGTTCTACAGGAGATGATAGATAGCGGTTGTTCACCAAACAAAACTACCATCACTGCACTAGTCCAAGCGCTCTGTGACTCAAAATCTGAAGAGGAGAAGTTATTGAGGTGCTTTTCGGGGTTGCTTCCAGAGGACTAACAACAACAACAACAAACCCAGTAGAATCCAATGAGTATAAATGGGACCATTAAGTAGTCTTCTTCAGCCATTCTCTGGTTTTTGTGCTTTGTGAACCAGGCTTTAGAGTATAAATGGGACCATCAAGTATTTGCAAGAACCTCTGGCTGGCAAATAACAGAAGATTGTGTGATCTAGAGAGCATTGAAAGCTGAGCAAATAAAGTAAGCTATAAGATGGAATGAAGGCTGCCCAGCAAAAAAAACACCGAAATATGAAGGAATAGATTTTTTTATGTGGGGATTCAAACGGGAGAAGATCACGAGCTTTTTTCTGTGGTACGTTGCTAGCGGGAGATTTTATTGATATATTTGTAGAGTTTGTACGTAATACACAAATTTGTCTCAAGGCTTATTGAGGAAGATGAGAAATCCTTCCTCTTCACAATAAGCTAGAAAATTTGGACTACAATGTCCAAGCCATTTAATATTTCCCAACAAGTGTTACGCTTTGTTTTATTTACTCACGTATTTTCATTTATCATTTAATAAAATAATGCACCCCGTGTTTTTATTTCTATACATTTTCAAGCAGAATGAATTAAAAAAAATATTTTACCTTTTGATTATCTCCCTAAATGTTACTCTGTATTTCTGAACATGGAGAGTATAGTTAGGAACAATTTATTCTTTTTCGTCCAATAATAGAACCTCTTGATGAAGAAGGAGACAAGGCTACTGAGGTGAGAGAGAAGGGTGATGTCAGATTTGAAGAAAAGCCAAGAGTCCGCCGTGCAATAGATGAGCAGTTTGACATGGTGAGCATCTTTTTTTACCAATCAGTTTACTATAAAATAAAATGATTACTGTAATCCATTATGTTATTCCGTGATCGCTTTTGGTTATCACAAGTCGACTTGAAAGTGCCTGATTTGCAGCTTCTCTTTACAGCTTGAACTTGAAGAATATGGATCAGAAGGGGAAGATGATTGCATTAATTATATGGATGATGAAAATGATTGTCAGGTGCAGGGAATATGCTGAGAAGTATGAAAATGAGAGTGAAGATGATGAAGAGGCAGTTCTTTTTGAGGAAAGCAGCAGTGAATCTGAAATATGGGACTGTGAGACAGTTATTTTCTACATATTCCAATCTGGACAATCATCCTGGGAAAATTGAAGTTCCAGGTGCACAGAGAAAAAAGAAGTGATAGCTGGAGATTTTATTGATATATATATATATATATATATATATATATATATATATATATATATATATATATATATATATATATATATATGGAGAGTTTGTACATAATACATGAATTTGTCTCAAGGCTTGCTGAGGAAGATGAGAAATTCTTGATCTTCACAACAGGCATGAATTATGGCTCTCCCAAAATGTTAGAATTGAACCTCAAATTTCTCAAAAGTTGGAGGGAAAGTATCTTTTTCCTTTTGAATATGTTGGGCAGGATTTATGGATTTGACTTATTTTCACAATTAGCTAGAAAATTTGGACTACAATGTCCAGGCCATTTAATATTTCCCAGCAAGTGTTACGATTTCTTTTATTTACTCACGTATTTTCATTTATCATTTAATAAAATAGTGCACCCCGTGTTTTTATTTCCATACATTTTCAAGCAGAATGAACTAAAAAAATCATTTTACCTTTTGATTTTCTCCCTAAATGTTACTCCGTATTTCTGAACATGGAGAGTATACTTAGAAACAATTTATTCTAATTTCATTCAATAATAGCGTTCTCAGTTTATATTAAAATTGTAAATAATAAAAATTTAAAAGATTTGGGAAACAATAAATGCCCGGAAAACAAAAAAAATAAAATATTGAAATAGGGAGTATGTTGATTCGTTAGAATTTATAAATCTTACGTATATACTTTAATATATTGTCTAACATTACTCTTTTTTATTCCACAAGATTAGGTCATGAATTCCAACACTTGCGCTTTGGGTATTGAAAATAGTCAAAACATGAAAATAAAATAACAAGAGGTAATCAAATATAGATTTATTTAATAAGAAATATTTAATAAGAAATCTCTTTAGATAAGAGTAAAGAAGTATAAAAATACAAAAAATAGGAATCTCAAGTCTTTTAAGACTAAAATATGAATACAATGATAGTCTGTTGTAACAATACATGTTGGCAATGTGATAGAAAAATGATGACATTGTAATATACTAGATTAGTGTGATCAGTCAATTGTCGGTGATCCGCGACAACATTTTGGTAGCCGGCAGCGATTGATGACAATGTGACAGTGATTGTGTGATAGTTATAATGTGAGAATATGGTCAAACTTCTCCCTTATTTGTTTCTCCCTTATTTATTACTCTCTCTGTCCAAATTAAATTGTTAGCTTACTATTCCATGGTCAAATTTTATTCATTTTCTTTCTCTATTTTTGTTATTCATTTGATAAAATACTATAGTATGTCACTACTATTCCATGGTCAAACTTCATTCACTTTCTTTCTCTATTTTTGTTAATCATTTGATAAAATAATATAGTCATGTCATCATTACTTTTGCAGATCTTTTGATGTATTTTTTAAATATGTAATTTTAATTTTTTAATTCTACACTATTTTATATATAAAATGGTTTGAAAATAACAACAGTCAAACATCGTAAATCGAAATAGACAATTTAAATTTGAATGGAGGGAGTAACTTTTAATAAAAATCTCAATTAAATAATTTTTGTTTTTTAGATTTGGTGTAAAATTAAATTATGAAAACACAAGAAGTAGAGTATACTCCATATTACTCTGCACTCCCTCTATTATGAATTTCATATTTTTGTTTTTAGTGGTTTCAAAATAAATTTTACACAATAGATTTCTTTTTAAGAATTGGAATTCATAGTTGAGATTTTTCTACCCTCTTAATAATTTTTAATTAAACATTTTTTATTTTTAAATACTTTATGAGAAATTTTGTGAAATCAAATTGTGACAAAGAGTACTCGGTACTTAATTTTGGAGGAAAGAAAGTATTATGCAAACATGCAAATTGCATTGCTCCATGTCCGTCCCATGATGCCAACCTTTCTCATATGGAGTTGAGGTATTTAGGTTAACGGCCCCGTTTTTATGACTATTGCTTTTCAGTGACACGCGGAACTCACTGGTCTGATTTGGATACCTACGATGCTCTATTTCTAAAATTAATGATTCTTATCTCTCTTAACTCTTCTGGTAAGCTCTCTCGCCTGTTGGGGATGAGTTAGGGTCGGGACTGGACAGGTAGAGAGGGGGGTTTACCGGGGAATTAGAGAGTAAGAATAATCAATTTTACGAACGGAATGTGATTTATCTAAGTAGTGATTCAGAAGAAACTTTGAGGAATGGAGTTCATATTTTAGTCTCGAATATTTTTAATTGGAAACGAAAAACAATCGTTTTTAACAAATACAAATATTTTTCATGTAAACAGATACGGAGTATATGTTTACATATGATAATCGAATTTTTGATTATCTATTTACAATTAAAAAATTAAATGAATAAAACATGCCCATTACACCCCTTACCTCCTATTGCACCTACCCGGCCATTCAAATGCATAATGAACCTGACCGTACATGCATCCACATACATACACATGCCAAAAATCACCACAGGCAAAAAGTAAAAAAGGAAATGAAAACGAAAAAAAAAAGAAAAAGGGAAAAAAGGAAAGAAGATCTGCTCAACTGTGATTCTATAAATAAATTTCTTCTTTGGAACTGCATCAACTCCAAATCCATACCCAACAGATAGATAGAGGTCTGGTTGAAGAAGGAGAGAATAAACCCAAGAAAAATTTAAACAAAAAATCTTAGGTCTCTCTTTCTCTCTATCTCCATTTCTCTGATCTGTAGGTAGGGTTTGCGATTTCAATTCAAACCCATTTTTATTATTGCCCCGAATCTCCGATCCATCCCATTCATAGAACAGCATCTTCCCTTTCTAGGAGAAAAGAGACGATTTTCTTTTCATCGTTTTGCGGGTTCAGAAGCATTCTTCTCTATAGGTGAGCTAACAATCCATCTTTTTTTTTTAATTTTCATGAATTTCTTCGTTTCGGGTCGTAATGTGTTTAGGGAAGCTCAGAAGCTGAAATTGGAACCTAAATTCACTGTCGTGTAGTGGGTGTTTGTCGTTCATTAGTACTGTTCGTTCTAATTCATTGTGCGAATTGAAAAGTTTAGTGACTTCGTAACCAAATTGGATTGTTTTGGCAGCTTTGGGGGTTCTAGGAAGAAGCTTGATCAAGATGGTGTTCTGGATTTTTGGTTACGGGTCGTTGGTTTGGAACCCCGGGTTTGAATATGATGAGAAAATCATTGGTTACATCAAGGATTACAGGCGGGTTTTCGATCTTGGTATGTTCTTGTATGTCTAGACTTTAATTTTCCAGCTATGGTTCCTTCCCATTTTGATCTGATTTTGATATTGGTATGCATATCAGCTTGCATTGATCACAGAGGTACGCCTGAACACCCTGCCAGAACTTGCACCCTGGAACAAAGTGAGGGAGCCATTTGTGTAAGTGTCTGTAAATTGTGAAATCTTATTGATTCCAAGATTACTACAGTATGAGTTTTAGATTTGATTTGTTTGCAGTATGAGTTTACCTATTTGATTTGTTTGCTCCATCCCAAGAAACATTACCCACTTCCCCTTTTGGGTGTCCAGTGTAGATTTTTTCCATTGTGTGTGTCATTTGTGTTCATGGACTACTCCAATTTCAAGTTTAGGGCAATGTGTCTAGGGAGTCTAAATACAAAATACCTATCTTACTTTTTTTTTTTGGAGAAAAATACTTATCTATCCTTTACCCTTTTGAAATAGAGTAAGTGATTATGGCATAAGTTATTTTTTTACCATTGGAGTGTTTTTCTCATTGTCTGTAGATGTTTGTTGTCTTTGATATATCTTAAGTAGTATATAACTGTCTGCACCAACTTTTCTGTGTTTTCCATATTTGTGCATGTTTTTTTTCCAGTGGGGTGCTGCCTATTGTGTTAGAGGAGGGGCAGAGAAGGAAAAGAAGGCAATGGAGGTACAACACAACTCAGGGCCTTGTATAGTTTCTTGCAAAAAAAATTATTCAGTTGAATTTTTTTGAAAGTAATCCGGCATGATATTAGTAATTATGGTATTCTCTTAATTATTTAGTTGAATTTGACTCGTAATCTGGCCTTGTATAATGGTTTGTTTTTGTTGTTGTTGTTGCTAGTATTTGGAGCGAAGAGAATGCGAATATGATCACAAGTCCTTAATCGACTTCTATACCGTAAGTTTTTGAGCTCACTCCTACTTGGATTAGCTATTTCTATGCTTACCCCTACTTAATAAGCAGATATCCAATGCTACTACTGCATAGGAACATTAAACTTTACAAGTGGTTAAAAATGGGAGTTTATAAAACCAATTGTTTCAAACCACTTATTAATCCTTTCTTAATTCACGTTCAAACTTCAAAAGGATAGTTGGCTATCTTTTCGAAGGGAGTAATTGGCTATCATATATGCTATACTATTATACTAATACACGAACACACCTAGACACCTAGTAAAGTTCTACAAAGCACACAAGCACAAGTTATAGACTAATATTGGATTTAAAAAAAAGGTACTTTCCTTGAGAGAGAGAGAGGGCATGAAATAATCTTTAAAAAAATGGAAGTTCTAATGATACTTGAAGAAAGTAGCAACACTCTTTTTAGGAACTGGTATTTAATTCTTTTTCATTTTCCATTTCAGGAACAAGACTCTGTCAATCCTGCTCTAACTGGAGTTTTTGTGTAAGCGCTTCTTTGTTCTGCTGTCAAACGGTAGCCATTTTGAGTAGGGGTGGGCATTTGTGGGTTCGGTTTCAACCAAACCAAAATTGAGCCATATCTAATAAATATGTTGTCTGTCAATTTTCCCCCAAACTTTTTAAAACCAAACCAAAGTGAATCAAACTAAATTCAATTTATGCCTAACCAAACCAAAAATTGACAAAATCTGAACCGAATTTGAAACGCTCAACCCCAATTTCGGGTGCAAAGAAAAAGAATAACATGGCTGAGCTTCTTATAATGTGCAGGTTTATGTCAACTCCAGACAAAGTGAACAACAAGTACTATCTTGGGCCTGCCCCAATGGAAGTTATGGCAAAGTATGATACACTTTTTTTTCTCATTCCATAGTATGATCCTTTTATGAGAAATTTTGAAAAGATTCCTATTACGGTAAAACATAACTTTTAGGAAAAAGTATGGCTACTATTAGATATACCAAGTACTCCGTATAACTATGGTTTTTATTTACTTTATTTGTTGGTTTAATTAAATTTAATCCTCATCTTGCTTGGAACATTTTCTTTTATAAAATAAAAACACTAAATATATTGAAAACTAACTTCTATAGTTTAAATAGGATATTTTTGATAAACTTGTGTTTTCTGATAGGCTCTTTTTAAACAGAGGGAGTAGTTTTTATCGTTCTGATTCTTCATCTTGTGCTGCAGACAAATTGCAACTGCCTTTGGTCCTTGTGGGAACAACAGAGAGTATATTTTCAAAATGGAGAAAGCCTTGTATGATATCGGTATGTGTCCTGTTTTTTTTCTTCTCCTAGGACTCACTTGGAAGGATATAGATTGTAAATTTTAATATTAATATGACAAATAAGGAGCGTTATCTATCCTGATTTGTGCAAGTGTTCCAAGCTACGTAGGGGCATTATCCCATTTTGCCCCCCTCTTTGGTCATTTATAATTTGATAGCGATACTAAAACTGAGTTTGATTTGATCTTTTAACATACATTGAAAAGCAGGGCATCAAGACAAGTATATCGTGGAACTTGCAAATGAAGTTAGGAAAGCCCTTGGGGTTGTCCTTCCGGGCATGCCCAAGGAGAGGAAGAAGACGATCGTGAGTAGTAATCCAACAACAACAACAGCACACCTTCCAATCAAGTCACACTTGTCCCCTGTTAAAGTCTGCCCTCTACCAGAATCCGTTGTCCCGGCCATTGCCATGGATTATTCTTGAAAGAAATTCAAGTTATTGTTCTTCACAGACTTGCTATTAACTTCAAAGCTTAACTCCCATTCTCGGTAACACCACGGATTCGGCAGCCAAAAGATTGTTGTGAAACAAGATTTTATTGGCCCTTGAATATAGAAAAAATCTCTATGTATTTTGGTTCACTATTGTGAAAGCTTTCATTGAGAAAGGACATTTGTTGTCTTTGACACAAATTTAACTATAGTTGGGAGTATGGCTCTATTATCGTAACCTTGAAACTGCTCATTTATATGTTGTTTTTCATATAGAAATTGAGAATCATAATCCCAAAGTCTCCTATGTACTTTATACTCTGGGGTGACAATTAGAAGCAATGCAAACAAAAGGGGTTCTTGAAACTTTGCTCCCTGAGCTGCAAAATAATATGGCCAAGTGAACATTCACAAAACTAGTGGTTTGGGCTTTGTTTGGTAGCCTCAACTTTTGACTACTAATTTGGCAGAAATTGATGTTGCAAAATCCTCTTCCTTCTAATATTTTTTAAAAAATATCAGCAAGATACCATTACCAAACAAGTCCTAATCATTGCCAAACTTTATAATGCAAACAATAATCTGCAATGAGCAGAAAATGTGTGTATTTACAAAACATCCAAAAAAACACAGCTTTTCCAGCTAATCTTTCTACCCTTTACATATTTTCATTCATCTCTCTCTCTCTTGATCCATACATTATATGGTCTTTTTCTGCAATCTTGTTTAAATGCCTCAAACTATAATGAATCCCATTTTTTCCTAAAGGAGCAGGCTGGTGTCTTTTAAGAAAGCATGCCATCTAATGATGATAATTCTGTCCCTTGATAATGGTCCATGCCCTTCAAAAGATGTTGCAAATCAATAAGTAAATCATTAACAACATTTGTTTGTCCACTTCAGGAGAAATTGGAAAAAACGTGAATTCGTGCAAAAAGAACCTTAGCGAGCACCGTAGCGTCCTGGTGTCATTTTATAACACTCAAAATCAGTGTCAAAAGAACCGTAACATTAGAGATTTACATATATTTAGATGTGTAATGTGTTGTCATTATATAACGATAACTACCGTAAATATTTGAGAATTAGTACCCTAACCTGTAAAGTTGCTCCACCAATACAACTAATGCAACCTCATGATTTAAGACCAAAGATGACAACTTGATCGATATATTTGCTCGCTCTTGCAAATGTCGTCCGTGTCCATAAGGCCCGCCTATGCAAAAGACCAAATTCACTGCTCCCTGAGGGGAGGGGCAAAAATGTCAATTCACCGTCTCGGTGCAACTTAGACTTCCAACCCCACTAATGTGAGGGCAAATCCGGAAGTCAAATAGCAAACAATTCTCACTCCCAACTGTACTAATCTAAACATGGCATACTACCATTGTATGCATTGTTGACAATAGAACTTGTTTTTCGAAAATCTAAGTTAATAAAAACATTATCGGCTTCAAATGAACCTTGGCACATACTACCACTCTTACCATGTTCCCAACATCCCCAATTAAAGAAGCCATCTGCTCAGAGCAAACATCAGTTCCATGCTCATCTACCATTACCACCTGCATTTACAAAATGTAGAAACATATACGGAGTGTATATGAAAATTACCAGTTACTCGTACATCCAAAACGAAGAAGGAAAGATGGCTTTTTTAAAAAAATGATGTAGCAATGCAAAATGCAGTTCGTACCCAATCGTCGGGACGAAGAACACCAATCACAGACATGCTCTCGTGTTCAATCTGAGCAGTCACGTCACTGTTATTTCAAGAAGATAAACGTTGAAAATTGCCATAAAAACTCAACCATTTGAACAACTAATGTCCGGGTGACTGTGAATTGACCGAAGGAAGAATATTGAGTAACAAAATGTTTCTTTCGTCTCCAACTTTTACATTGTTTGGTTCAAGGAATTTGAAAGGGAAAAGAAAACAAAATGAAATGGAAAACAATTTTTCATGCTTTGTTAGAGTGGATATGAAAAGAAAAGTGGAAAAAATTGAAAATGAAGGACAAAATGTACTAAGAAGAAGGAAAATACAAGTCCTCCAATTTTAATGAGAAAAAACTCACTTTCTTTTCTTTTCCTTCCAATTTCCTTGAACCAAACATAGTGTAAAAAAATTCCATTTTCGTGTATGGCTATAGTTTTTTGGTCATCCTTCCGGCCACTTAACAGGCCAATTTCCATACAACTGGATAAGTGACCAACAAAAACAAGGAACAGAAAGTTGTATACTTGTGATCATCATTTTCTAGTAAAGATCAAATATAAGGTGACTAACCGGGCATTCTTCGGATTAGATTTAATCCGCACATCATCTACATGGCAGTAATGCCTCACCTTTTCAAGATACTCATCAACTATCAATTGAACACCGGGCGATCTCTTCTTTCCAACCGTCAATACCCGGATTGGCAACGCCCTCTGTACATTATTACTAAAGCTGATGGAATAACTGTATTACTCCAGCATTAAGAATGTCTAGTACTAATATTTTACAAAGAGAACTATTAGAAGTAATTAATTGATTTTAATTAAACTTTTACTTTTATATTAAAGTATCATGCCAAATTGGGCATAAATATTAAAGAATACTACTTAAAGACTCTTATTAAAAAACTTTTGGATGCAAAATTATCAAGAAACATTCGTAGGGATTACATTAGGAATTGAAAGAGTTCTCCAAAATTGATTATTAAGAAATGGAAGAATTCTTAAAAAATATACTCCGTATTATTTATTGTGAGCATTGTTCTTTCAATTTATAATAAAAGATGTATATTTGTATATGTGGACATTTTTTCTATTGGACGATAACGTACATTGTTTATACTTAAATTTATATTTTTAGATAGTACTCGATTTAAAGTTTGAAAAAGTAGTTCAAATTAAGTATATTCATAACAAAGAATTTTGGCTAAAATCCACCATTGGTCCTTCAACTTTATCAGTTGTGCACGATTGGTCCTTCAAGTTTCAAAAGTCCATAAATAGTCCTTCAACTTTATGAATTCTGCACCATTGGTCCTTCAAGTTTCAAAAAGTCCATAAGTAGTCCTTCAGGTACACGTCAGCCCTCCATATGAAGTCCTTTAGACAGTAAATATTAAAAGTTAAACGAAATACTAGTTTCATATAATACGAGTAAATTCCACTAGGTACGACTACTCCGTATTATATGGAGCTAGGATTCCATTTAGCTTTTAACATTTACTGTCAAAAGGACTTCATCTGAAGGGCTGACGTGTACTTGAAGGACTATTTATGCACTTTTAAAACTTGAAGGACCAATCGTGCATAACTCATAAAGTTGAAGGACTATTTATGGACTTTTAAAACTTGAAAAACCAATCGTGCACAATTGATAAAGTTGAAGGACCAATGATGGAGTTTAGCCAAAAATTTTAGATGTAATATATTCCCGTGCATCGCACGGGTGAAATACTAGTTTATATGGATCTGGGGTGTGATGGAGTAAATCAAAATGGATCTCTAAACTGTCTGCGCTTCTTTAATTAATGAAGTAGCAGTTAGTCAAGCAATGCAACTTTCGACGTTAAGCCGGGGGTCTCTTTGGAAACAGCCTCTCTACTTTCAAGTAGGGGCAAGGTCTGCGTACACACACCCTCCCCAGACCCTACTCTTGTGCGATTTAACTGGGTTGTTGTTGTTGTTGTATTAAAGCATCATGCCAAATTGGGCATTTGGCATAAATAAGGATCGAATGAAGCCGAATATAATAAAATTGATGAATTCCAAAATAAAATAAATTAAATTGTTCTTATGTGTGAAATGAGTGGAGTAGAAAATGAAATGATTGAATTACTTGATTTGGAATGTATAAAACAATGGACAAAAGACATAATTGAGTATGAATATAGAGATAAAATACTCTGCGGTATTAAGGAGAAAAAAACCCTTACCACAGATTGGCCAACATATTTGCAATTTTTTCCTGCAAAATAAGAATAATAATAATAAACACAATAATTTTTTAATTAGTAATGTAGATAATACTGTAACTGATTGCGCCCCCACGCACGCGGTGAAATGAAGACCTGGAGAACGGATTGGGCGGTGCGAATTGACCGCCGGGATTAGCGAAGCCGCCGCCGCCGCCGCCATGTAATGAAATGCTCCCCTCGGTATCGTCGGATGTCAAGATACTGGTCACGCGGGCACTTGCTTATCAATCTCTTTTACTTGTCTACTCCAAAAAAATTTAAAAATGTAAAATTTTTTTATGTACTGCCCTTAAAATGATGGAATATAGTGAATAATATAAATAAAAAGTAAAGATATAATGACACATTTTTTTAAAAAAATTAAAAAATGAGAAATGGAAAAAAGAAAAATGAGAATGAAATTTTTAGACGAAGGAAGTATCACATATCACATAAATTTTGTAGATTTTTGTTATAGTTTGATATATGAACTATTTAAATTTTTTTACAGCAATATTGACGACATTCTATAATTTTTTGACATTATATTTTAATATTTCATACGGAGTATTATTTAGCATTACATTTATTATTTTGTGGGTGAGATTCATGAATAAATTTAATTATTTCTTTTTTTTTAAATAGAAAATTCAATTAGTCTGTATTTCTTAATATTGGTTTTAACCGTATTTTTGATTTATTTATATGCTTTGTTTGGTTTTAACAATGTTTTGCATAAAAAACAATGTTTTGCATTATGGCCGTGTTTTTATTTTAATTGAAGCCTGGACTTCATACATTTTAAACTAAAAATAAATTTTATTGAAGTCTTGGAGTTTAATGAAGGAGATTTCACTTATATAGTACTCCTTATTATTAAAACATGAGCATTGCTAAGTTCACAAATAAAATATTCACTAAATTTACAAACTTATCATTTATGATTTAAAATCTAATTTTAAAATTATTTTAGACTACTTTATTTTTTTATTTATAGAAATTTACAAACAGTAAGTTTGTCAATTTTGTGATTATTTTATTTATGAACCAAACATTTTTTCTAAAACATAGTGAGTTTTCAAATATAATATCATAATTCAATGTCTTTTGAACATTATTCAAGTAAATAATCACCACGGAACATTATTCAAATATAATTTAGAAAATAAAAATTTTTAAGGTACTATTTAACATAAATTTTACTTTAATACGGAGTAAATTACAAACCTTATCAAAAATAAATTCCCCAAAAAATCAAAATAAATTTTAGCCCAGGTTGGCAGCGCATGAAAATGGCAGAGGAATAACAGATTTTTGGAGCATAACCGCCAAATGCGGATCTCCCTCGCGCGGGCTTGTGGTGAAGATCCTCTTTCTCCCCCAAATCGGCATTACAGAAACCTTTTTTTCATCTTCTTCCCCGTTCATCCAAACTATTATTCTGCAGGTTGCGATGAAACTGAAGAACTCAACAATGGAGAGAAGAAGGTAGACGGGGAATACAAAGATCAGCCTCGGGAAGATGGGGAGCCAGTCGGTGCCAAAACTGGTGGCCGTGGCGATAGACAAAGACAGAGGGAGCCAAGTTGCCCTACGGTGGACGGTCGAGAGCCTCGTCACCAAAGGCCAGCCCGTCATTTTGATCCATGTCAAGATCAAGCCCGCTTCTAGCTTCTCCCATTCACCCTCGCTCGCTCTCTCCACCCCGAGTTAGCCCCCCCCCTCTCGCTCTCGCTCTCTCTATCATTGCATTCAATAATAAACGATACCTCCCTATATATAGAGATTACAAGAGAGTTCTAATCATAGCAGGAGAAAAACTATAGTAACAATAGAACAAGGAAACAAAAAAATAAGAAAGATGATAAATAATAATGTTCTAATTCCTAATACATCTATTGTTCCTAATATATTTGATTGAAATTAAACGGGTCTCTGAGGGAATAACATGGCTTGACGAGGACAACATGGTGTGTGCACAGAAGTAGACGAGATGTAATTGGAATTAAACGGGATTAATTTGGACTTGGAAGATATTTTTAAGAACAATGAATTCGCAGTGCGATTTCATTTTCTGGCTTCGATCCCAAGATTAAATGTCAGCCTGTAATGTTGAAAGCCAAGAAAGTCATTCTCATGCTTCCCATTTCATATTATAGGTTTGTTTCAAATACTGATTTCATAGTGTTTCGTGTTTGCAGGGTTGAGCCAGCATTCTATTGACGACAATGGGTTTACAAGCGGAGACAACTCGGATCCAGAGACAAAAGAGCTGTTTCTTCCATTTCGTGTTTTTTGCACCCGTAAAGATGTTAGTATAGTATCCTCTTCAGTAAACACGAATTGTGTCAAGGCCCGTTTGGATCCTCGAATATGTATATATACTAAGGAAAGATAATATGATGGAGTATGTAGGAAATCGTGGAGTGAAATCAAATATCCACTAAAACTCATATACTCGCATTTTACGTTTTCCAAACACACCCTTGGAGTGAGGAGGAAATCTTAGATTGCCTTATAAACAACATATAAAGGGTGATCTCTGTGATCTTTTGTGCCTTTGGGTTCATAAGTGATGTATATGCAGGTACAATGCTACGAAGTTGCGCTAGAGCATACCGATCCCGCCAAAGCCATAGTTGAGTATGTAAACCGAACAGCAATCGAGGTGGTGGTTCTTGGTGCTGCAACTAAAGGAGGTCTTCTCAGGTGAGATTTGTCCCTTAACATACACTGTGGAGTCACTGAATTGGGACAAGTTCAGATTTTTTTTTCATTCTTTATTTTGAAAAAATATATATTTATTGTGCATCTAAGATTTAAAGCAAGAGACGTTCCTGGAAACACGTTGAAATCGGCCCCAGATTTCTGCGCCGTGTATGTCATATCCAAAACAGGGAAGATATCATCCACACGATCTGCTTCCCGTCTACCTCCATTTATCCATCCACTTCGGCATCAGATGGCACAGCAGATTAGCAGCAAACCAAATGCTGCACCTGACTTACCCTTACCTCCAACACACAATCCAAAAACTAGCTCTTTGGCAGCTCTCGAGCCACCTGCTGGCGTGCTACAGAACGATATCAAGTCAGTCTCCTTCTCCTGTGCTCGTTTTATGCAAAACATGTGAAATGTGATTCAACTATTACATTCTATAACTGTTCGAGAAGCTGCTTTATTAGTTAATCTAATCTATTTACGAGGCCTAATCAAAAGTTAATAGTGCAACAGGTCTCCATTCACTCACAGGAGAGCCGCCAGTGGCAGACCGTTTGAATCCGCCAAACTTGACCTGGACGTGTCTTTTGTCAGCAGGCAGAGTGTTGACACATTTTTCCCATATGCCGAAAGCGTTGATGAGGGACCCACCCCTCCACGGCTTTCGGGTTTCTCAGAAATGGATGACAGTAATCTTGAGCTGCTGCACAGTGGAAGGCAATCAATGGAATCCTTGACATTTTCAGATTCACTTGACACTGATAAAGCCTCTTTGCTGTCCCAGGTAGTTTGTTGAATGCAGTTTTCTCTGCAGGTTAAGAAATTTAAATTTCCATTCTTGTGGTTCACAATGTAGGAAGATGTGGGAGCAGAAATGAGAAGGCTAAAGCTTGAGCTCAAGCAAACAATGGAAATGTATAGCACAGCCTGCAAAGAAGCACTCACTGCAAAGCAAAAGGCAAGCCAAACTCTGATTCTCTGAAGCTAGGCTTGGCCAAACAAACTGTGATTCCTGATATGCTAACTGATAGCTAATAAGCTAGAGTTTATAGCGTATGTGCAACAGCCTCAGACCCCACTTTGTGGGATTTACTAATCTGTTGTTGTGCTATAGCTTATGGGCATGTTTGGCAAACAGTTTTTGTGGAGAACTTATAGCTAATTTGGCAGTGTTAGAGGTTGACCAGCAGAAAAGGCTACTTTTTCTGTTTGCTAAACAGCTCCATCTCCAGCTACTTGGAAGTGTTTTTAGTCCTTTTTACAAATGGCTAACTAATTTTTTTATAACCATATTTCCCTACCAAAGAACTATGTTTTTTTAATGAGCCAGTCAAAAATGAGCTATTTGCTATTTTCCCAACAAGGCGTAGACCTGATTGTTGAAAAACTAGTTGGTCTCAAACTCTCAATATTAGTAGCTAACTTCGAATTTGCATGTGGTATGACACATCAGATATGCTAAAAGAATTTTAGATTGATAAGGGATTTAATAATAGAAGAGAAATTATAAAAGAAAACATGCTTGGAGCTTATTTGAAAAAGCTATTCAAAGAAACTTACAATACAAGCTTGGTCTTATGAAATAAGTCCCTCAAACCAAATGGAATATCATTTTAAAAGCTCCATAAAAAGAAATTCATTGCTAGCTTATGGTTTGCCATATATTACCCAAGCCTTGTGCGCTCTCGTTTGCCAAGTATTTTGTAAGCATTTGACAGTAGCTACTTGCAGGCACTGGAGCTAGAGCGTTGGAAAGTGGAAGAACAGAAGAGATTAGAAGAGGCACGGTTAGCAGAGGAAGCTGCACTGGCACTTGCTGAGAAGGAGAAAGCCAAATCTAAGTTAGCCATTGAGCAAGCAGAAGCAGCTCAGAGGATTGCAGAACTAGAAGCTCAGAAGAGAATCAATGCGGAGCTGAAAGCTCTAAAAGAAGCCGAGGAGAAGAACAAGGTATTAAGCTCAATGTCGGATTCGAGGTACAGGAAATACACGATCGAAGAGATTGAGACCGCAACCGAATACTTCTCCAAATCCCGAAAAATTGGTGAGGGTGGGTACGGTCCGGTCTACAAATGCTATCTGGACCACACCCCGGTCGCGGTCAAGGTCCTCAGACCGGACGCGGTCCACGGAAGGCAACAGTTTCAACAAGAGATTGAGGTGCTGAGTTGCATAAGGCATCCAAACATGGTGCTTCTTCTAGGGGCTTGCCCGGAATACGGTTGCTTAGTGTACGAGTACATGTCGAATGGGAGCTTGGAAGACCGTCTACTCCTTCGCGGTGACACGCCCCCACTTGCTTGGCAGCAAAGGTTCAGGATTGCAGCTGAGATAGGGACGGGTTTACTTTTTCTACATCAGAACAAGCCGGAGCCGTTGGTGCACCGTGACTTGAAGCCCGCCAACATCTTGCTTGACCGCAACTTCGTCAGCAAAATTAGTGATGTGGGTTTGGCAAGGTATTAAATAATAAGTACTCCTTTTTAATGAACTACTCCCTCATTCCGTCCCAAAATTAACTTCCCACTTTCTTTTTTGTCATGTACTGTATCTTTTACTTTTCTAAAACAAAAATACACTTCGTTTACCGTCATCAACCTACAAGTTTTCTGCCTTTTCATTGTACTCTTACCAAACCCCTAAAAAGTAAGCATGGAGATTTTTATGATTCTTTTCTACTCTTAATCTCCGTGTCATTCGCACACGGGGATATAATTTTGAGATGGACGGAGTACAAATTTTTATTGACATCACTTTTGGACATGCAACTTCGGAACAATTTCTAAACAATCCCGATTTGTTTTGTGAAATATTATGATGATGATGATCTATGTGTTAAGGAGTTTCAATCCAGCAATGGACTTTGCTTTAGAACAAATGAAGTGACAAATACAAGCATTGTAAGAATTATTGTATAACAACATGTTGTAACTTGAACACCAGACTCGTGCCTCAAAGTGTGGCTGAAAACGTGACGCAGTACCGGATGACATCAGCCGCGGGGACGTTCTGCTACATAGACCCGGAGTATCAGCAAACGGGGATGCTGGGTGTGAAATCGGATGTGTATTCCCTTGGGATCATATACCTTCAGATGCTAACGGCTAAATCACCAGTGGGGCTGACACATTACGTGGAGAGGGCGATTGAGAAAGGGTGTTTTGGTGAAATGCTTGACCCGGCCATCTCTGACTGGCCTGTTGAAGAGGCTCTGGTTCTTGCCAGTTTAGCATTGAAGTGTTCTGAGCTCAGAAGAAGAGACCGGCCGGACCTTGGGAATGTCGTGTTGCCCGAGTTGGAGAGGTTGAGAGCGTTGGCAGAAGAGAACTCAACTCCGCTGCAGTTCTATGGCCCGCCCTCCTCAAACTGTAGCCAAACATCTTTGTCTCAAGTAAGCCTAGCTATAGATATCTTTAGTGCATGCATTCTTCATTGGACCAATTGCCATGGATGGGTCACTTGGAATAGGTTATGGATTGTCCACATAACCCCTAATCTTAGGGAGTGTTTGGTTGGAGGGTAGGCATCCAGAGGAGAGAAGGGAAATGATTTCCTCCCCTCCCTTCCCCTCCCCTCATATAGTCCAAAAAACTTTAACCCTATGTTTGGTTCAAAGAATTCGATAGGTAAAAGAAAAGAATATAAGAGAAATTTTTTTCTTGTTTGATTATGAGGAAAAAGAAAAGAAATAGAAAATAGAAGAAGTTAACTAAAGATAAGGAAAACAGTTTTCGTTCCATTTTGGTGAGGACAAGGAAAAAAAATTAAACTCTTTTTTTTCTTTCCTTTCGAATTCCACGAAAAAAAACAAAGGATGGCCCTATGTTTGATTTGTAGAATTCAAAAGGGGAAAAAAATGAGGGGGAAATCAATTTTTCATTGTTTGGTTAGAGAAGAAAAAACGAAAGAAGAAATGAACTAAAGAGAAGGAAAACAAGTTTACTTCCATTTCAGTGGAGAAAATGAGAGAAAACTCATTTCTTTTCTTTTTTGATCGAATTCTACGAACCAAACATAGGGTAAGGGTTGGGATTGAGAGCCAAAAAAATTTGTCCCCTCTATCCTCAACATTAAGAATGTAGAGGGTTTCGGGGACATATAGCTTAGATGACTAAGAAAGGATGTAAAAGGGGAGATAAGGACGACCATGCATAGCATTGAACCCCCTTTAAACACTACTTGTATAATCATTAGTGTTACCAAACAAGAAGATTATGCTTTGTATATATGTACGCTTATTTCCCATCAAGTTTTGATGGATATTTGACTCTGGAAGTTGTTATGCAGGACAATTTGAGTTACCCTGCAAGTAGTCATTCGGGATATGAAAGCTCGAGAAGCAGGTGAATCAATCATGAGCCCCTACCCCTTCGGGATGAAGTCTTAGAGTGTGGTATCTCCGAGCAGGTGTGTTGAGGCTCGTGTGACTCGAGTTCTTGTACGTAGGCCTTGTTTGTTTGTTCCTTTATTTTTGGGAGTGGGTAGTAATGCTACTTTTTGAAAGTTCTTGTTTGTAAGTGTAGTTTTAAGTCTAATACAGAGTAAATAACAGACCTTGAGTTTTGTTTTTTTCCTTTTTTGGGGACGTATTTTAACTTTCTTAAGTCTCCAAATGTAGGTTGGTAATCTCTTAACTAGTTGAGTAACTTTTTTTTCCTTTTTGCCGTCAAAGATGAATTCAATTACTGAGGATGATTACTTCTGTCCAAAATGGTTTTTTACTTATTCTTTGACAAGGGGCGTTGTCAAAAATTTAAAAGTTAACTAAATTTGGCAGATGAAACTGAAAGAAGCGAGGGGGG